GTCAAGTAACCAAGGTACCACCAATAGTGGTATAATAACCCAAAGTTGATCTCCTATCTGAAATTGATCCTGCATAATCAACATCTGTTTAAGCCTCAACACGTAAGTGACCATGATTGGCAAACAAAATACCATGGCCCGGACACCCTTTTAAGTAACGAAGGATCCAAATAGCTGTTTCAAGGTGAGGGGTACGAGGAGAGTGCATGAATTGACTCACAACACTCACAACATAAGCAATGTCAGGTCAAGTCATGGATAAATAAATGAGCTTCCCCACAAGTCGTTGATACTGACCAACATCTGACAACAACTCTCCCTCAGAATCAACCAACCGATGATTCTGTTCAATCGGAGTATCAGTAGGATGAGCGCCAAGCTGACCAGAAGCAGAAAGCAAGTCGAGAACATACTTGTGTTGAGAGATGAAAATGCTAGCCTTGGAGTGAGCCACCTCAATGCCCAAGAAGTACCGTAGGGGACCAAGATCCTTAATCTCAAACTGACGGCCAAGATAACTCTTAACCTCAGCAATTTCGATAGCATCATCTCCGGTAAGAACAATATCATCAAAATACACAATGAGAGCAACTGTCTTACCGCTTGAATGATGTAAAAAGAAGGTATGATCAGCTGCACTTTGATGGAAACCAAACTTGAGCGCGGCAGTGCCAAAGCGATCAGACCAAGCTCGAGGAGATTGCTTAAAGCCATACAAAGAACGACGAAGACGACAGACCATACCAGAATGAGCAGGAGACCAAAAGCCCAGAGGAGGAACCATGTACACCTGCTCCTGTAAATCACCATTGAGAAAGGCGTTCTTGACATCTAACTGAAATAGAGGCCAAGATCGAATTGCAGTAACGGAAAATAATACACGGATGGTATTCATCTTGGGAACAGGGGCAAAAGTCTCCTGATAATCTATGCCATAAGTCTGAGCATAACCCTTGGCAACCAACCGGGCCTTGTAACGAGCAATTGACCTATCTGGTTTATGCTTAACTGTAAACACCCAACGACAACTCACAACCTTTCGTCCAATAGGAAGCGAAACCATGTCCTAAGTATGATTTTTCTCAAGTGCTTGTAGTTCTTCTGTTATAGCATCACGCCAATGAGGTTGTGCTAGTGCATCTGCAACACTAGAAGGAAGAGGAACCGAGGCAATAGAAACAAGAAAACTCCGATAGGAGGGTGAGAGAGCACAATCGAAAACAAAATTAGAAATAGGGTATGTACAAGAACGTTTACCCTTTCGAAGAGCAATGGGGCGATCATTAAACGAAACAATAGCTTGAGAAGGCGGAGCTAGTGCCGAAGGAACATGGCAGTCGATCGTGGGAGTAGAAGCTTGTACATGTTGTCTCCGACTATAAACCTATGGAAAAGGAACAATTCCCCCTGCTGGAGGGGCATTACGAGGAGGAATCATAAAAGATGAAACAGGTAACGGTAGAGGAGTTGAAGATGGAAGAGGTGATCATCCATTATATTCAATGGGAACTATTCACTTTGAGAACCAACTGAGCCACTATAGTATGGAGTATGCTCAAAGAAAGAAACATCCATGGATATAAACCACCGATGATTGGGAGGATGATAACACCTATAACCTTTTTGAGAGTGAGAATAGCCCAAAAGCACACTTTTCAAAGCCTTGGGGTCAAGCTTTGTACGAGTGTGCCCCAACTGCTAAACAAAGCACACACACCCGAAGACTCGTGGAGGAATAAAACAAAGAGATGAATTGGGATGTATGATTGAGAGTGGGGCTGCAAAGTTAAGAACCCCAGAAGGAGTCCTATTAATGATATAAATAGCTGTAAGAACTGCATCTCCCTAAAATGACTGGGGAACATTTATGCCAATGCAGATTGCTCTGGCTAAGTGAAGGATGTGGCGATTCTTTCTCTCAGAATAGCCATTATGTTGAGGAGTTTTAACATTAGCCATCTGATGCTCAATCCCAAATTCTGTACATAACTGTTGTACCGCCCTATAAGTGTACTCTGTACCCTGGTCAGATCTGAATTTTTTAATCGTACGACCATATTGAGTCTGAACCATTGTCATAAATTTTTAAAAATTGTGTACACGTTATTTTTGGTTTTCATAAGATAAACCCATTTAACACGACTATGATCATCAATGAACAACATGAAATATCGAAATCCAAGACTAGAAGTAACTGGGTATGGACCCCACACATCTGAATGAACAAAATCAAAAGGTGTTAAAGTAGATTTGTTACTACTAGCAGGATAATTGGAACGAACATATTTAGCCATATGACGTGTCTTGCAGGATAAATCTAACACTGCTACGTTACAAAATAAGGAACGAAATAAATGTTTTAAATAACCGAAAGAAATATGTCCTAAATGCATGTGCCAACGCATAAGCTAGGCTTTATTAGATGAAACAAAATTAGAAAATGAAGCTAAATGTGTTTGAGGTGACAATGGAGCATCCAACAGGTATAGACCGTCCACTTCACGCCCATTGCAAATCGTCTGTTTCGACACTAGATCCTGAAAAATACTATGAAAGGGAAAGAACATTACACTACAATTTAATTGTTTGGTAACGCTAATAACAGAAATAAGATTTGTAGTCAATTGTGAAAGATGAAGTGTATCTGGCAAAGTTAATGAAGGAGTAACTGATATGTGACCCTTCCCATTGGAAGATGGAGAGCCATCTGCAAGGCGTACCTTGTGGTGGTCAGAGTAGATATTATAAGATTGGAAAAATGAGGACATACCAGTCATATTGTTTGAAGCACCAGAATCAATGATCCATGGTGTCGAAGATGTATATATGCTATGTGTAGACACAATAGTACCTGAGTGGGCATAAGTGGAGGTTGGCTGAGATGATGCCTCCATTTGGTTGAAGAATTGTTTGAACTTGTCCAGATCAACTTGAGTCAAGGTAACTGTGGCAGAAGATGTAGAGGCAGAGTTGTCAGGAGTTGACATCGAGACTGGTTGTGTAATAGAATGTGCAGAGGATCGAGGCCGTTGCTTTTGTTGCGATGGGCGTCCATGTAGAGCATAACAACAAGATTTGATGTGACCAATTTTTTCGCAATGGAGGATCGAGGCCGTTGCTTCTGTTGCGATGAGCATCCATGTAGAGCATAACAACAAGATTTGATGTGACCAATTTTTTCGCAATGGTCACACCGTCCACGTTGTCGTCCCAGAGAAGGACCGGTGGTAGAGCTCTGAACTGATTGGGATATTGCAGTTCCTGAAAGGTTGGGAACCCGAACTTCCATAGCAGAACGATCAATAGAAGCAACACCTAATGGATGAGTCCGACGGCTTTCATCTAATAACACATAGGAGTATGCATCCTCAAGAGTAGGGAATGAAGATAAGCCCAATAAATAAACATGAGCACACTCAAACTCGTCGTTCAACCAGGCAAGAAACTGAAACACTCGATTCTTCTCCACAATCTCTGCATATAAAACTGTATTATCTGGATCCTTCCAAGAGTGGAAGGAATCATAATATGACATCTCCTCTCAAATAGCACGAAGCTTGGCGATGTAACCTAAAACTGTCAAGTCACCCTGAGAAATCCTGGTGATATCTCGCCCTAGCTGGAAAATCCGTGCATTATTCTGCCTCTGAGAATAAGTGTGTTGAACTGAATCCCAAATCTGCTAAGCAGTCTTCATAAACATATAGTCAACAACTATGTTTGGTTGCATCGAATTGACTAGCTAAGACATAACCATAGCATTATTTGCAAACCACTGTGGATATGCCTTCTCTGACTCAGCTCGCTCTTTCTCAGAACCAATCTTGCCTTTGCCACCAATGAACATCTTGGCATACTGTGCCCAAATCAAATAGTTGGAACCATCCAACTTCACTTGTGGTGATTTGAAGTCGTGCATTTTCTGATGAGTCGGTGGGAAAAATAGCACCACCACCACATAACTTGAGCCAAGATAATTAACAGTGAAGACCCTGAATCTGCCATAATCTGTCACACGACAATAAAAAACTCCAAAAACACCACAAATTCTGTTAATAAATCAAATGGTCTCCTCAGACCATTCCCGAAAAATCCAAATACATACTTTTTTTAAGGAGCGATGCCCACTTACAAATAGCCAGACAACCTCTTTCTCAATATTTGGAACCTTTTTGTAGACTAAATTTTTTTACCCAGCCCTTCTAGGTGTTGGAGACTAACTATCCCAATTTACCCAACCCTAGAAGAGTAAAAAAGAAATTGTAAAACTTAACAATACATGTTTTCGATCACAAAACAGTAACACAGAAAAACATGTGTAGGCAATGTCACATCGATGTTACAAACAACCTAAGGTGGCTGTCGCACAAGTAGTAAGGCTGCTGAAAGGTGTGGAAATGTGTTAGCTCTGATACTAAGTAGAAATATAAAAAGGAGAGAATTGTGTAAAGACTTGAATGAGATAGATCACTCATTCACGGCTCAAGTATTTATAGGTAAAAAGAGCACATACTCATATTACAAGAAATGAAACTAAATCAAATCTAAATCAAATCAGAGCATATTCTAAAGCATATTTTATGGCATATTCTATAGCATAATCAAATCTCTGTTATTATGGCAAGTCATTCCATAAATCGTGGCTATTATAAATGCTAACAGTGAGAGAGAAAGAGAGAGAGAGAGAGAGAGAGAGAGAACTGGACAATCTTCTGCAAAATATATAAAAACTATATTTAGGTTTCACAACAATTCTAAGTTTGTTGATTTCCAAACTCCAATTGTACAAATGGTAATTTTTTTTTTCTTTCTTAATTGGTACTCACACACACATGCCTCTCCACCAAGGGTCGAACCCCTGTCCTCCCTTTGGAAAGTAGGAGCTTGGTACCGTTAGGCCACTGATCTGTTGGTCAAATGGTAATTCAAATTATGGTTATGGTTATTGTTTGTTTACTTTTTTTATTTTTATTTTACATTTTACATTTTTGTTTTGACAGCTATGCAGCTGCAAATGATCCAGGCAAGGCTATACAAACGTTCCAAATAATGGAGAAGTTCAGAATAACTCCTGATCTGAAAGCATTCTATGCACTCTTGAATACTCTCTGTAAGCATGGAAACATTGAAGAGGCTGAAGAGTTTATGTTTCTAAATAAGAAGCTCTTCCCCTTGGAAATTGAGGGCTTCAGCATAATTCTCAATGGGTGGTGTAATATATGTCTTGATGTATTTGAAGCTAAGAGAGTCTGGAGAGAAATGTCCAATTGCTGTATTACGCCAAATGCAACATCGTATACCCACATGATCTCCTGCTTCTCAAAGGTCGGGAACCTCTTTGACTCACTGAGACTGTATGATGAAATGAAGAAAAGGGGCTGGGTCCCAGGCCTCGAGGTTTACAATTCTTTGATTTTTGTACTTACTCATGAAAATTGCCTGACAGAAGCTCTTAATATTTTGGACAAATTGAAAGAGGCTGGTTTGCTACCTGATTCTGCCACTTACAACTCTATGATACATCCCTTGTGTGAAGCAAAAAAGCTAGAGGAGGCAAGAACCATATTGGCTTCTATGGTGGGGGAGAATGTCAGTCCAACTATTGAAACATACCATGCATTTCTCAATGGTGCAAGTTTGGAGGAAACTTTAGAAGTTCTTAGCCGTATGAGGAAAGCGGGTCTTGGTCCGAACAAGGATACCTTTCTTCTGATTTTCAGTAAAAACTTCGAATTGGAGCAACCTGAGAATGCATTGAAGATTTGGGCGGAAATGAAGCAGTACGAGGTAATGCCTGATTGTGCACATTACACTTCGTTGGTGGAGGGGCTGGCAATGTGCGGGTTATTGACCAAGGCGAGAGAACTCTATGCTGAAATGAGATCAAGTGGCATTTTAGACAACCCAAAGCTCCAGATGCTCTTGAAGGAACCAGTACGAGGTAGCAATAATGAAAGAGAATCAGAAGGGCAGCCAAGTGTTGTGAGATGCAACAAGAGAGGTACCCAGGTATGTCTTGGGAAAAGCAGTTCGATTAGAAGAAAAAACCGTGGTAAGCAGTCTAGAAATAAGCAAGCAGGCATAACATAGAACTCTGACTAAATATTCTAAATCTGTGAAAGATCATCTGCGTCTAGCTTGAAAATTGAAATGCCAGTTTGCTAATAATGTGGCATCTGATGGTGATCGGTCAGAGTATGGTGTAGCTCAGGGAAGGCTCTATAAAAGGATAACTTTATAAACTTTACAGCTACATTAGCAAGCGGTAGTTCAATTGGTATCTGTAACCCGCTCATGGAAATCTCAGAAGCAAGAAGTCAGAGTTCATGTCGTTGCTCCGAATAGAGTGGGTCTCCGTGGTTATACATGATTCTAACTTGAGGGAAACATGTGTTCTTAATGCACAAAGTGAAGGCCTAAGGGAAGGTTTTATTTAGCAGCTGATTAAGGAGGTAGCAACATGTTTATAGAAGATTATTCAAGAGCCTCTCATGGATTGTTAGTCATGACTCGTTTGGATTGTCATTATGCTGAAATTAACTTTCAAAATTCCAATTGCCAGAAGCAAAAAAAAGGGAAGCCGACCGATTTTGTTTTTTGCATTATATTTTGGTTAAATGAAGGCCAAGTTTGTTTGAATGCTATTAAGAATGGATTTGGAAATGTCTTTTATAAGTTTGGATTTTCAAGTGGTTTCAAAATTTTCATTTTGATCTTTTGGCTCGATTTTGTAAAGAATTGATGCAGTAAATTGAATATGAATCAGAATTGATGCATAGTTATGTGACTTTGAGGCGTGTAAGATCACTATCCTTTAATGTGCTATTTGGCCTAACTTCCTGAATGGTGCAGGTGGCAGTATTGAAGATTGACTTACTGGCTAAGCCTAGTGCTGTTCGCTGTTCCAATGCTGCAAAGTCTATTTGGTTTGTCAATCTGAAAATAATAATAATAATTTTTTTTTTTTATTTTTAAAAAACTGAACAAAAATTCTGCATCTGAAAATAATTTTTTTTATTTTTAAAAAACTGAATAAATATTCTGCTTTTATTCCATTTGAACGCATTATAATATTTTTTTTTTTAAATGACTGTTTTTTATAATTATCTAAAAATAATTTTTTTTTTTTCTAATTTCTTAATAATTGTGTTGAGAATTATAAATTGATAATTGTTATCTAAATTATATTGGAAAGTGTGTCATTTCAGACTTACATTGGAAAGTGTGTCATTCTTTATTAACTTTAAATGTTTCTTCTTACTTCACCAAATTTCTTCGATGGGTTTTGGATCTTACCATCTTTCAATTGGGCAGGGCCACACTCTTTGATTAAATGAGTTCAAATTTTATCTGAGCTTTTAACTTCGAACATTTAAATACTGAGCATTGATTCAATCTTTACAGTTCGAGCTTCCATGGTTGATAGTTTCGTGTGAAGTAATAAATATGAAAAGCCATGCTAGGTGGTGATGTTCCAACAGTCATGCTGATTGTCGTATGCATGGATTGCGGCATAAGGGTCCAAGAATGAAAAAGGGAAAAACAAATGCTCCACTTCAAAGTTATCGTTTGGAAAAAAGCGATGCCCCACGCATGGGATTCTGACGTTGCTTTTTAGTCGCGTGGGACTTGCATTATTCAAAATATGGCATTTGAATGTGCGACCAGATCCTTTTGTATCTGAAAAATGATTTTAAAGTCAGAAATTCTTTAATGGAATGTTTTAAATTGGTTAATGTATATAAATATACAACAGTGGAGCCTCTACTTTCTAATCTCTTACATTAATAACCAATCAAATGTATTCCAAGGCCCAACTTTTCTACCTGAATATCACTATTTTTTTGGTATCTTTTTTTGGTGTTGAAAGATGCTTTATATGTTTGTAACGTATTAAATCGATGTGCAATATCATTATTGAGCATCAAAATAGCGGTGTTATAACCTCGTCAAAATAATGGTGTTATGATTTCAATTTATTGCACGTGTACAATAATACATTTAGGAATGGCAAAAATCCTCACCCTTGCGGGGCCCCGCTCCTCCCCTCCCCTCCTCCTTTGGGGGCAGTTTTGGAGAACTGATTATGTAAATGGGGAGGAGATGAGAGCTGCTTTGAAAAATTTGACAGGTTTTGAGACGGTTTCAGGGGATGGTTGCCCCGCCCCACCCCGACCTGACCCGAATATACTATCAATTTATTAAATTACCCTTACATACTATGATATATTATTAAAATAGGTTAGGTATATATATATATATTAGGGATGGTAAAAATTCCCACCCCGGCGGGGCCTCGCCCCGTTTAGGGTGGTTTTAGGGAACAGTTTATGTAAATGGGGATGGAGATGGGGATGGGGGTTGCTTTGAAAACCCGGCGGGTTTTGGGGCAGTTATGGGGGTGAAAAAATTAAATTGGGAATGGGGAATAAAATCCCCGCCCCAAATTGTCCCATTGCCATCCCTAAATACACTATAACATTGAAAAAAAAGTACCACATGAGGATTCAAATTCTTGAATTTGTGGACATTTGATAATGGAGTATAGATTCTGATGTATTCATATATACACTATAGGTACAAAAAATCTCTCTACCTTACTCTACTCTCAAAAATGAAAACTCTTTCCCTACCTCTGGTTCTGATTATAGAAATAGAAAGAAAAATGTTCTTCTCCACTTTTTTGATTTGTTCTCTATCTTGCGCACTTCTTTCCTTTTATACATGTATTGCCCTAATGATAGTCGTTAGGGTTCAAGGTCAGGTCCAATGTGCCTCTACGGATCGAACTGGGTTTCTTAAGAGGGCTGGGCTTCTGCTTAAGCTTTGCTTGGGCTGGAGCAACCAGTTCGGCCCAATCCGCAGTTTCAGGCTCAATCTTGGGCTTTGGTATGCAGCTTGAATATGTGTCATCTCGTGATTGGAGGAACCTATTGTATAGGTGTCAAGATCTCATTAGAGGAGATTTTTTTTCTCCACATACATGATAGAATTTGATATTTGAGATGTGACATTGGATCTCCACAAAAAGGGTCTAAAACATCACTTATTGGGATCAAATTTGAAACAAAATGGCGTGCCCCACTTTTTGAAATGTGTGTGTGTGTGTGTGTGTGTGTGTGTGTTTATATATGTTAGGAAACGTGCAAGTTTTAAAAATTTTCTAATGGATTTTCATATATAGATCTTGATTCATCACATAGAGACAAGTTTTATGCGAAAATAAAATATGATGTATCAATCAATTAATAGATTGAATACTTACATCAAGGTTTGAGTAAACCTTAGATCTCTCCTCGAAAGTGAATGTTCTCACTTATTGTAGATCCCTTTGCTAGATGCCTTCTCCTTAAATCTCCATCTTCTTAGTAATGGTCTTACCTATAGGAATCACTTATAAACCTCCATATATGACATTGAAAAAATAGGCTTGTGGGAGCCTTCATTAGATGAGAACACTAACCTTAAAAAACTGGAGAGAGAAAATATTTTATTGTCTTCTCAAAATCCTACCTAAAATATACATGAACCCATGTATATATAGGCAAAATAAAGATAAAGAAAGTAAACAATAAATCCTTCTCAATCTCTAATTTACATATCTCAAATCTAATAGGATTCTAATATCAAGTTGAGCTATGAGTGAGAATTATTTGGGCTTATTAAATTGGCTACAATGAATTAATAATTGGCCCAGTCCATGGATCCAATTAAATTAATTTATTAATTAATTTCTACTCCACTAAAAGAAATTAATTGCCTCCAATTAAATAATAAATAACCTCTAAGTCAATATTGCACTTTGACCCCTCTATGCATAATTAGTTATCGGATAAATAAAGCCAATTAATATATTTATTTTGGTACCTTTGATTATTTCCAGCTTGATCACAATAAAACATTTGTTTAACAAAAATAATAATTTAAATAAATAACTATATAATAAATCATTTTGTCTAAAAATACACGAAGGCCTTCGAATTTACTTTGTGATGAACCATAATCAATATAAAATAAATATAAATAGTAATGATACAAATATTGAAAATATAACCCTCTATCTATTAATTACATAATTACCCAAAGTGCCGATCTATGGATTTTGAAGATTCCGCCGAAAAATGAAAGTAATTACTAATTAATAAAAGAGTCTATACTTCTCTCATGCTTAAGAGTCAAATGCCATGACAGTGAAAGGGAGCAATTGCATATGACGGCTCTTGCAATATATCTCAACCTAACGCGGATCTAGTTCAAGTTTTAATTAATAATGAGTCCATTCATAATTACCAATTATTAACTATTTATGATTACTATTTATATTCATGTATTGATTGCCATTACATACATATATAAATATCTCCTGTAATCAAGTGGACAGTATTAATTCCATAATAAATCGAAACATAATACATTGAATTCACCAATTATATAAATCATAAATATTTCAGATATGTCAGTAACATATGTTACTATAATCCAAATAGGAATTTGCTCTACCAGGGCATAGAAATCCCAACAGCTACCACTTGCCCTCATTGTAATGACCCGGTCAATTTCATTTCTTTCTTTTTTTTGAAATTTTACGGATAAATTTTTTCCATTGAAATTTCTTTTCTGAGTTCGGTTACTCATCACTTAGTGAAGTCTCGAGTGTTCGGAAATGGTATCCGAGACTCTTTCCTTTGGATTGACAACTTCCTTTAAGGACCGAGTCATTTCCACATTTTCATTTTTTGACACTATTCATTTTTCTTCTTTTTCCCGAGAATGATTTTCTTCGTGTAATCTCACTTTTTATGCTCGAATTTGGTTCCGATTTTGCATGCATCCATGATATTTAAATTGCATGCTTTGTGTATTTTTACTTTTCTAGAAAAGTATGGTAGTTGTTTACTTTTACGTAAAAGGGCATGGAAGTATAGTTTCTTTGGAAACATTATTTATTTTTGAGGTTTTTTCGTAATTATAAAAAGTAATTATTTTGTTTCTTAGGGACCTTTTTGTAATTTATTTTGGAAGATATTTTCAAAAAGGACCTTTTTGTAATTATCGGAAAGTGTGACAAGTGTCGCGCTCTCATTGGTCCACTTGTAAGCATCTCATTGATTAACACTTGGAAGCTTTGGATGATGACATGTGAAGGGTGGATATTCACCCACTTATTGGCCTAGCATTGGTGCACTTGTTGGCTTGGATTGTTGACAAGTGTAGGCTTTAGATTAAGCCTAGAATGAACCACTAGATTAATGACAAGTGTAGGCTTCTAATTAAATTCTAGCTTTTGTGTGTGTGAGGGAATGGTACAAGACTAGGTGTGTTTGACTTTCATTGACCAAGTGAGTGGAGGAATACACTAAAGTGTTTTAATTATTTCATTTTACACATTAAACTTCTTCTTCCTCACTTAGAACCCTAGCCACCATTGAAGGAAACCATTAACCTAGGCTTAAAACCTTGGTTTTGACCTCCTTCCACTCACCTTAGACCTAAAAGCTTGGAGCACAAAATGCTTGCCTCACCTTCCTCTATATAACCCTCGAAGGAAATTGTAAAATTCCTTTGTTTGCTTTGGATTCAAGAGGAACAATCTTCTTGTGAGGTAGGGGGTGATTTAGGTTTTTAATCTAAGTGTTTTAATTGTTTTTATAGCTTACAATAAATTGTTTAAATTATTTAAATTAATAGGTTGTAGTACCTTGCATGAAATTAAGCTATGACATGATATTCTTGAAGGTCATGACTTGATCTATAACTTGTATTAGTATAAAGTCAT